AGATATTTTATTTTGTTGGATTTCGTCCTTCACTGTAGTGAGACGTTCAGATATTTCAGTGCTTTGAGTTTCAGTAAGTCATAAGAGTGTTCTATTTTCAACATGAAATGAAATTAGGGAACGCAGGCCGGTTGCAAGAACATTTTGTATTCTTATCCTAAATAGCTCTAAGGATTGCTCTTATAACTGTTCCAAGTCGGTTACACAAAACTCTCGTTTCCTCCTCCTCCTCCTCCTCCTCCTCCTCCTAACAACAACAAAAACGACAACGACAACGACAACAATAATAATAATAATAATAATGCGCTTTACATGGTAAACTGGGAGCGAAAGCTATTCAGGACTGCAATGAAATAAAATCAAGCAATTAGAGCAATACAACATAAAATGGAAATAAAATGTATAGAAAAAATACAGTGCACAACATTTAAATAAATCAACAAGACATGCTGGAAGTAAAATGGTGTGCTTGCATTAATAAATGAATATGAAGTGAATGAATGTGAATACCCGCTGTTAATGAGGAGGCGCGCGCGCATTTGTCAGATTGGATCATTAGCATAACATCCATATTGCAATATAATACGTGTGTGGGCAAATTTTATTCACAGAAATGTTACCAAAGAGTAAAAGATCTTCAAACTGTGAGGAATCTGAGAGGAAATTCTAAGTAGACATAAGTAATTAATTTATCAATAAGACATAATTAGTGAATGCCCCAAAGTCTCTTAAATCCCTTGAGCATGCCTCCTAAGAACAAATCTGTTGGCAAGAGTGGTTCTTGCTTGAGGCCCACTGTCTTTCTAAATGAATTGCAATGAAATGCAGTTAACACCTGCATATAAGCAGAAAGTTTCTGAGAATATGGTATTCTTCTGTTACACAGAAGTGAGTATTTCGCTAAGAGGCTTCTTAGCTCTTCCCTCCATTTTCTACCTCTGATACTTTCAAAATTAAAAAAATATGTATATGTTCGAGGCATATTTGCAATCAATTCGGACCTGTTATCCTTTCCATAAAAGTTGCAAATCTTTGAGTAAACACTCAGCAAGCACTCCCGCTGAGAGCTGCCTCTTTCCCCTCCTCCAAAAGGATCTGTGATATAGCAGTTTAGTCTTGTGTACTTTCCACAGCCAGGGAGAAGTCTCATGATGATGTTTCTACATTTTTAAAGCCAGAGGAACACAGGAAGAATGAGAAACAGATATATAAAATGAGCATATGGGTTAGAAAATAGGGATTAATAGTCAGTTAAAATCACATTTTGACAACAACAGTTACAAACGTAAGTTTAAATTAGGACTAATTAGGCAAATGATCTGTGTCTGTCAAAACTCCAACACAATTGAAGCTGCATTCAAGTTGTACTGTATAATGTCAGCTTCGCAGTTTTATGTTGCCATGACACAATTAGCCTTTGATATTCTCTTCTTTGGGCAACGTTGAGGTGCTGCACAAGAAAAGGTCAGGAAATTAAAGGTGACTTAAGGTCCCTGTAACATTTTGCTTACTGAGGCTTCAGCAATTAGTCAACACATGGCAAGTAAAGCCATTTTTAAAGGAAATGGTCATTCACTATGGAAGAACAGATTAACCTTATAGACCCCTTTTGTGAATATGGCCACCTGTTCACTCAATAAGGGCAGGTGGGTGATTGGTTTGGGGGAAAAATGCTCAAGAGCAATATCAGCTATACCTTAACAACAGCGAAAGATCCTGAAACTGAATATACCTTTGTGTATACATGGACAGGTCTACATGCACTCCAGGAAGATGAGCTTTCATGCACAGGTCACACATACAGACACACAAAGACAGACTAATGCACAAACATAAGCAAATACAAGAATGGCTGCCATAACAACTCCGCAGTGACCGTGTGTACTGCTCACAACAATGTTAATCATGCTGAGGAGCTCCTGGCTGAGAAAATGTGAGTGAGGGAAGAGAAAGGGGGGCGGATGAAGGAAAGACACAAACATAGGCACACACACATGCATGCGCACACACAGCCTAGAGGTTGTCTGTTCCAGTCAGTGATCTGTCTACTTTAGAGCAGATGAACCAGAGGTGAACCCAAATGGAATGAAGCATGGTGATCATCCTTATTTAATGAAGAATTCATTGTTCAATTTAAGTTATTTCAATGTCTGTGGATCCAGAGATGGGCAATGAAAGAAATTAAACAGTCTTCCGATTATTTTCTGACATTATTTTTTATTCATATTGTTTTCTTTGACTGGAGAGGATGAGCGACAAACCCACTGGAAGAACTATAATTTTAATTAAATCCAGTTAAAACCAGTGACAAACTGTCTTGATACATCCATCCATCATCAACCACTTATCCAGCATACAGGGTCGTAGGAGCCAATCCCAGTTTATATTGGCCGCAAGGCGGGGTACACCCTGGACAGGTTCGCCAGTCCATCGCAGGGCCACACATAGACGAACAACCACTCACACACACCTAAAGACAATTTAGGGTAACCAATCAACCTATCCTGCATGTATTTGGATGGTGGGAGGAAGCCGGAGCACCCGGAGACAACCCACGCAGACACAGGGAGAACATGCAAACTCCACACAGAAAGGCCGGGGCAACCGGGGTTTGAACACGCAACCTTCTTGCTGTGAAGCTAACCACTGCACCACTGTGCCCTCCGTCTTGATATATGTTAATACAAATATATCCATCTCACACTAAGACCTGACAATATTTTTACAAAGATGAATTACATTTCTTTAGAATCCCCCTTTAAAGGAATATTACATGAATAACAATATATTATATGAATATTCATTTGGTTCGCTTTGCTTTAACCTTGGTTTCCTACCATGTGGTGTAGGTTTTCCAAACTGTAAAACAACTGAAGACACCTTATTTAGAGATTGTGGAATACATGTTTTTTGGCCTTCCTGTGAATTAATGTCCTATATTAGGTGTCTTTTGGACACTGCCAATAGCCATTTCAGTTGCAGTTCGAATTATATTACAATAGGACTTAGCCACCAGAGGTGGGCAACTGCACTGCTGAGTGGACAACCCAACCACAGTGATCATTGATCCTCCTACTCTGTCCAGCTCCAATAAATACTTCATAGCTCAAAAATATGATTTAACCATTTACATCTTCTTCTTTTCCAGTGGGCCAGTGTGCATCATGTAAGTAACGCAGAAGTTATGATAGCCTGTGCGGCCAGTACTCCAGAATTACTTCACTGCCCAGCTCTGTTCATAGCAGTGCTTTGATCTAGGTGTTAATGTGCTCACTATGACCATGCAGTCATGCTGTTGTTTAGCAGGTATAATGTTTACCATGTTCAACAACTTTCTTTAGTACATTAGCATGCTACATTTTACTAATTACTAATTAGTGCTACACATTGGGTTGGGTACAGTTTGGGTCTAAATGATTCATTCACCAAATCGTTTGGTGCTTGACCGAAGCTCCAACTGCAAAGTCCCATTAACAGAACTGAAACACGGCCAAACATGCAGTTCAGCTCACTAGAGAACTGAGAACGTTTTTTTGTAAGGGATACGCCAGTGAGATGAGAATTCAGTTGGATAAAGATAATAATATAATTATAATAATGATCTTTATTTGTAGAGCACTTTTCAACGACAAGTTACAAAGTGCTTTAACAAGTGTAAAGACAATAATACACAAAAGACAATAATACAAAAACAATACATGATAAAAGCAAGAAAACATTGAAAAGACTAAAATACACATTACCATTTGCAAATATTTAAATCACAATGATAGAGAGCTCAGTGGCCGATGAATGGCTGTCAGCCATCAGCATCGTCCGTCAGCCCAACCCTAACTGCAGGCTGATCAGCTAAGGCTGATGGGAATGTCATCATATTTGCAGTAATTTGATCACACACGAAAGTACTGGGAAAATGGACATTTTGACCTGATGGTGGCGCTAGATGGAAAGTTAAGGACTCACCAAAGTTACAGTTCATCCTTGAAAGTCTGTACTTAATTTTATGGCAAATCATCCAGACGTTGAGTCATTTCACTCAAAACCACAATTGTAAACCTCGTAGTGGCACTAGAGAAAAGTCAGGGGGTCACCAAAGTCATTAGGATATATCATCTGGGAACAGTGATTGTCTCTCACAGAATGACAAGTCTTTGCCTGAACTGTTTATTTAAACACGCTTTTCCCACCACACTGTACAACATTTTGTGCCAAAGTACAATGTAACCCAGAGGTAAAATGGGCAATAAATAGAATAAATAAATAAGTCCTGAGTGAAATAAATATGCGATAAATATAGGTTTATTATATACAAGTGATTAGATAATACATGCAAAACTATATATAAGTATAAATGAATGCTTTTATGTTGAAAAGATCGCTTGAAAACATTGATATCATCCAATACAAGGGCATATTGTTATTGTGTTATTAGCCTATTAGGTTGAGTGTTACTACACCGTAGCCAAGAGAATTTTTAGACCCCGTCTCAGCCGTTTGTTTTTTTTTGGGGGGGGGGGGGATTTGTGAGGCTGGACCCAAATTTTGGGTCCGTTTCTTTATTTTTTTTTATTACAAGAATTACATAGTTACAGTTCATGTTTTCATAAGGAAGAAAAAACAGAAACAGTGAAAAAATTTTAATAAAACAATTATAAACAACAAAAATAAAGTATACAGCCAGAGTGTCAAACAATAAATATCAGTTAAATTAATTATAAAGTCATATTAGATAAATGTTGTAAACATTTTGATGCTGATTTACCCTTTAATCCAGAAATACAGACTATATAATTTTTTAAGTCAAATTTAAAAACATTGAAAAGAGGTTTGTTCTTCATAAATTTTGATTTATGAATAAAGAATTTTGCAAGCAAGATTAATAGATTGACTATGTATTGTACAGAAGAGTTTGAATCAGAAAAATAAAATAAAATTTAAAAATTGGATAAGTGTACATTTGAGCGTCTCAGCCGTTTGTGTCAGTGAGGGAGACCGGAAGTGACAGCGATGTCTCTGAATCATCGTAGCGGTACATTAATTATAAACTTTGTGTTAATATTTAATTCTGTGACTTATGACTGTAACCAATACTGAGAAATACTCGAGAGAGTCTAATCCGGAGGGCATGTTCAAGCTTATGTGCCGACCCATTGCACTGGTGAGTTTGTTTTGTTCCGCTAGCCTATACGCTAATGTCCGCCATTGTGTGCCCATTGTTCTCGATGTAAACAGCGCTTGTAACCGCGGCCGCTGCTAACTCGAAGCTAACGGCTGAAGTGTATTATCCTTGTTAACTTACTAAAATGTCTTTAACGATAAAACGGGATACTTTTATTGTGTTCCGGACTACTACCAGTGGTGAGTGGAGTAGCTCCGTCAAGTTATATATTTTCAAACGGTGTTTTATGTTGAGTTTTAAATTGATGTATTAACCATTGTGGCCTAATGGACCAGGCCCTAGGACCCTGCTAACAGCCGTTAGTGGCTGTTGAGACACTTAATACTAGTGAATGCTATTGAGGTTGGATTTTCATACACTTCATTTATTAATTCAGGGCTGTTAAGTGTATTTTGAATGTAAATCTTTGTATTGTTATTTTGCACCTTAGTGATAACTATGTATTATGGTTATGCACTTTATTTCAAAATGATAGTTGATATATTGAGAAATTTAATATGTTGTACAACTGAACTAGAAACATGATACTGTGATTTAGTGATGTTGAGTTTATTGATAAGCCTTAGCCTATGACAGCAATGTCAACAGTGTTAGCTCTAAGGTAATTTTATGTCGACCTATACCCTATAGGTGAGTTTTTTAGGAGATTCAAAGTTGGGAGATCCTAAGAATTCTCTCTCTGCCTAAGTTTGCCAAAAAAAAAATGATTTCATCCCAATTTCCTGTCTTTGTAAAGTGCTGCCATACAACCATAGGGTGTTCAGCAATTTCCATACTTATTGCTATATTTCCTGCATTAGCGGGGAATGGCAAAATGAGTATTTTGAATTACACCATTAGGGCTTATTATGCTAATCCATACCTGGCATGAATCACATTTTACATTTCTGAATCTGTGCCTTGGGCCCCAAATGTTCTGTGTGATTAAATGTTTTAAGCATGAATTAACAAAACCTTCATTAACAATCTGCAACTCCCACACATACAGTAAAGTCCAATTATGTAATTACCCATTCAAAAAGCTTTTTATTTACAGACAGATGATTGATGTGTAAATGCTTCATATTTTTCTTCCCCTGTTGATGGTTTATAGTTGTATCCTCAAAACTGCCAATACACAGCAACATCTTTTCCATCACTCTGAGGTCTTAATGTCAAATTAAAATTTCTACTTCTGCAAGGCGATTTTGAACTTCATTCAAGCGATGGAACTGCTCCAGACATGAAGCTGCATTTCTTTTTCTGTGGCGGTCGAGCAGTTTATAGGTCAAGTTGGATGGTATCTGATTTGAGACACGAGCACTGCCTTTTATCAATGTGGAAAGGCTGGCCTTTCTGTCAACCTCTGTTTCGGTCTCCAGCCGCCTGTATTTGCCAGATTAGCCCAGACAGCTGGTTCATTTTCTGACCTGAGCAACTTCACCAGTAGAGAGGAACTGAGCTGAGGCTGAGAAGATAGGATGAAGAAATGTGAAAAGGACAGTGAAAGAGGAGAGAGCCTGAGATAGTCAGAGGAGCAGAAGAGAGGGTTCAGCTCTACCAATCCGTTTTCACTCCCAACACACCAATATGGCCAGTGTCATTTCTGGATGCGCCCTTCTATCATAATGTTTTGATGTGCCATTGAAGTCAGGTGATGTAATATAAAGAGCCAGAAAAGATTCCTTTTGACTTAACCAGTCACAAGCCTTCTTCCAAACTACTTTTTCCAGAAGTCAAATGAGACAGAATGAACTCCTCAAAGGGGAACTCCATCCATCCATCCATCGTCAACCGCTTAGCCTGCGTACAGGGTTGCAGGGGGCTGGAGCCAATCCCAGGTGACATCGGGCGCAAGGCGGGGTACACCCTGGACAGGTCGCCAGTCCATCGCAGGGCCACACATAGACGAACAACCACTCACACACACCTAAAGACAATTTAGGGTAACCAATCAACCTATCCTGCATGTCTTTGGATGGTGGGAGGAAGCCAGAGCACCCGGAGAGAACCCATGCAGACACGGGGAGAACATGCAAACTCCACACAGAAAGGCCGGGGCAACCGGGGTTTGAACCCATGACCTTCTTGCTGTGAGGCGACAGTGCTAACCACTCGAAGTCTGTAAATAGTATTGGGGAGTACTACTGCATATGGGGAAAAAAGTTTAAATCCTTTAGGGTAACTGTGCAAAATCTGAAAGTTAAAAAAATCTGGGGGTGTGAGCAGTGGTGGCTGGTGAGAAATTGGGGAGGATAGGAGGAAAACCAAACCATGACCTCATGTTATTTTATACTAGTTGGCTACTTATCTCTACTTTCTTATGTTCAATGAAAAATTAAGCAGAAAGTAAAACAATGGCTTACAAGATTTCTTAACAACAACAATTTTATTCAATCCTGTTGTTTCCAGATTTAACATACAGGCCTAATACAGAAGAGTATTAATCAAGAGCGTGAGATGTAACAAGATTCAAATGTTTAACACCTGTGAAGGAAAGTGTGGTGACTGATGATAACCACTTGCTGGTTGAATCCAAGCTGGCTTGATTTCCAATGAGACAAACAAAACTTACTTCCAATTCCAATATTTTATTCCCAACGACACATTGTCACAAGTACAGGTTCACCAAGGCAAGTAGTGTAAGTAAAGTAAACAGCTGGCACTATCCTTTAACAAAGTTAGTAATTAAAGTAATTATTAACACCCATACTGAAACAGCAGGTGTAATTTTCTTATAACTTACATCTACTACAAGTTAAGTCTAGGGCTGGACGATATTGCCAAAACTGTTATCACAATGAAAAGTTTTATATCTTTCAATATCGATGATTATCACAATAAATATCAAATTGTTATTTCTTTCCAGTTTAAAGGCTGATTTTTGCTCCTGAATGAAAGTTGAAGAAACCTGCTGGTTAACTGTGGTTTAAACTCTTCTTTATGGTCAACACTTGAGGCCAAACAGTGGATCACTTCACAAATCTGAGGTAGAACGTTCAAAACAATTATGATAAAATCTTTGTCAACAAATATGCACGAGTAAAATTAAGCAAAAGCATTTTTCAGTCCCTTTTCCTCAACAAAATAAGCATCTTAATATCTTCCTAATTTGTGGATGTTTAAAGTGAATAAAATCAAACATTTATTGAATATTTATTGAACATTTGTTACAGGGACGTGCACAGGAATTTTGAAGGGCAGTTGCTCTGACCTGAAAAAAGGCACTAAACACAGTATCCAAAATGTATTAACAATATAAATGTCACCAAAATACATATGAGAAAAAGAGTTCCTTATATTATTGTTTATTGTTTTTTTAATCATTATTATTTTTTATTTTTTTTCCTTTTTTTTTTTATTTGAAAATAAATAATCTAGATTGAATTGACAGATGGGGAAAACTCGCTTAGATTTCGGAAAAAAATACAATCCTTTTTTAACCTTTTGGCTTCCCGTACATTCAGTTGCGCTTCTAGCTCGTATTCACTTCTGTTGGTACATATCACGTATGGTAACTGGGCAAAACTACGCATGATTTGTTGTAGTATGATTGCATAAAGGAAGGAAACAGGAATTCCGGTAGGGAACAGAATCGACTGACGTGCAGGCAGCGCTGCAGCAGTGCAGCCACTTAAACAGAGTTTGCCCTTCCCCTACTGACTTTCACTTTCGGTGCCCGAATGGAAGTGAATGAGGCTTTGCGATCACGATTATTTTTTTATTTTATTTTTTTTTCTCGGAAGGGCGAGTCGGAAGGGCAACTTGAGTCAGGAAAGGCAAACGGGCAGTTGCCCGGGCAACCAGAGCAACCCCCCTGTGCACGTCCCTGATTTGTTATATTGTTATTGAAAAAAAATATATCGCGATAATATTGTTATTGTTTTATTGTCCAGCCCTAGTTAAGACCATCATGGTGAAATTATAAGAATGAGCCACTGTCCACTACTACGAAAGATACCTGATCCAGGGCGAGTGGCCGGTTAATATACCGGACTGTTATTTATGAGAGAGAGTGAGTAGTTTGCTAATTGCATGTATATAAACCTTTATTTAAACAGGAAATGTCCCATTGAGACAGTCTCTTTTACAAGGGAGTCCTGTATAATAACATTATAATGTCTTTCCTAATATGCTGTATGAATCTATCGCTTTACTGCCTGTTCATCATGTAATACAGTGGTAGAGAATTGAAGATGAAATTTGTTTCATTGGACCAACACAATGTCTTTATTCTGGTTGTTGGCTGGTTTAGGGGGACACAGTTGGAGCATCATTTTTAAATGTTTTGGCCAATAACAGATTAGCATGAAAAAAAGTTAAATTATATACGAGTTCCCACCCGAAGGAAGACAGCAGGAGCCCTTCCTCCTCATCCCCCAACCACCACTTCACACAGGCTGCCCTTTACCCTCACACCTGCCCTGCAGGTGTCACTGTTGAAGCATTTAAATCAGAATTTCAATAATTTTTTTCCAAAGAAGAGAGAAAAACTATTTTTTAAAATGATACTGAGATTTGGTAATGGTTTATTTCAATATTTTGATCACTCTTTTGCTGCTCAAAAATATAGGCACAGTCTGCCTCTAAGGACCTGCCAAAGAAAGAAAGAAAGACTTCTGTTTTTCACTTCTCATCTCTGCTTGGGGCTAGTTGCTCGAGGTTACATTAGCCCCCATTAGCATAACATAACCAGAATCGCCTGAACTGTCGGTGGTGAAGTTGCATTGTGGGTCGTGTAAACACAAGGTTTTGACATGAAAAAAGAATGCATGGAATAAAGAAGAAATACGTTTTTTAAACTGACTCCTGAGTCTGACAATGTAAATGGAGTGCAATGCTCAACTGGTGGAATACTCTTTAAAGAACTTACATTTGTCTTCACATTTGAAGAGACAAAAATCCTGTCATGAGTTAGGTTAGATTAGATGGCTCCCAGATGATCCACTTTGCACTTAGATTTAAAAACATACATTGACTTTTACATAAAAGTGTTTCTT